AACTGCCCCCTCACCCCCCTGAGCTACTCAGGTGGGGGCCGGAGCAGCGCCCAGGTAGGGGCTCAGCGGGGGTCTTGGGATAGCTCAGTACATCGGGCTGGGTGTACCCCCGGGGGGCAGCCTGGTGCTGGACACCGCCAGGCCCCCTTCGCTCTCTGTGTCCCGTCCGGGTCCCGGTGGAGGGCTCCACGGCCAGTCGGGCCGTCCCACTGCTCCCAAATCATCCCGAGAGAGGTGCCGGCCGGGCGGCCCTGCCTCGTGCCCACGAACGCGCGCTTCCCAGCGCCGCCTCCAACAAGCCACCTCAGCCACTGGCCATGCTGGGAACGGGCGTCCCCCACGGCTGGGCTTTCCGAGCCCTCAGGAAAACCCGCCGTGCCCAGCGCCACGCCCGGGAGACCGACGCACTGCGGAAAGGGGCGGTGAGGGAGCAGAAGCAGCCAGCCCGGAGATCAGACTCGGGGCCCTAAGGAAGCAACAAAGAACAAAAGTAATGCGCCTTGTGAATGAAGCCCTGGGAGGTTTTGGGTTTTTTTCCCACGGCTGGGCTTTCCGAGCCCTCAGGAAAACCCGCCGTGCCCAGCGCCACGCCCGGGAGACCGACGCACTGCGGAAAGGGGCGGTGAGGGAGCAGAAGCAGCCAGCCCGGAGATCAGACTCGGGGCCCTAAGGAAGCAACAAAGAACAAAAGTAATGCGCCTTGTGAATGAAGCCCTGGGAGGTTTTGGGTTTTTTTGTTTTTGTTTTTAACCTGTGGGGTAATTCGGGGCTCACTGTCTCACGGGAGGTGCCAGGGTTTCTGGGACAGAGCTGGGGGCCTTTGGGACGAGGTTGGGGGGAGCTCCTGGAGCAGTGGGGTGGGTCTCTGAGGACAGACCTCCTCATGGAGGACACCTCCCCCCCAATTTCCCGGTTTCTCGGGGGCAGATCTCAGCAGCTGAAATGGGCCCTGTCATCAACTTGAGGGTTAGCCAGCATCCTGGGGACTAAGGGGTTAACTATGTCCCTTACCTAAACCAGGTGGCAGGCAGCCAATAGAAATGTAGGTAGGAATTTCAAATTGGGACAAAGGAATTTTGGGGTTTTTCCCTCCTTTGTCCCTGGGGAGTTTCTCTCCAGCTGTTGAAGGGGACAGGATGGCTCCCTCGAAGAAAAGACTCTTCCCCATCTGTAAGGAGAAAGTTTCGATACATCCGTTCGGTTTTATTGTTGTATGGTTTGGGGATGGGATCTGGTGTCTGTGCATTTGAAAATAGGTTTTGCTCTCCTTTGTAACTAAGTTCCTGGTCCATGGTACATTTCTCCTCCAGGAATATATGATTTTGTTACTCTTCCATCTAGTCATTATGCTTGCAACAGGAATAGTGTGGGGGGAAGAAAAGTTCTTTCTCTTTTCTTTTTATTAACCTGGCCTTGGTTAACTTTTGTGTCCTGGTTTGTAATTTAGGGGTGAGATTTCTCAAAGGCTACGTCTAGACTGGCATGATTTTCCGGAAATGCTTTTAACGGAAAAGTTTTCTGTTAAAAGCATTTTCGGAAAAGAGCATCTAGATTGGCACGGACGCTTTTCCGCAAAAAAGCCCCGATCGCCCTTTTCGCAATCGGAGCTTTTTTGCGGAAAACAAATCTGAGCTGTCTACACTGCCTACATTTGGGGTTCTTCTGCATTCATCGTCCATGAGTGAGGAAGGAGCCATGACAGGCCCATGTTAGGGCTAAATCTCAGCCATGGGATGGCCCCGTTTTTCTTTAGTTTCTGGGATTTTCCTGCTTTTCCCGCGAAAGACAAGGGGAGAGGGTGGGAAAAAGGAACCCCAAAGCAGAGAGATGGAGCCAAACAACTTTTCAGTTTTCTCCCCAGGAGGGGCCTGGTTCCTGCACTGTCCTTGGGCCTGGTTTCCCCTCGCCCCTTCCCATCCCACTGGGGGCCCAGCAACAGGCCCAGCTTGGCCCGGGCCAGGCATGAGAGCGAGCAGGTGGGGAGGTGACTGTGTCTGTCCCCCCAGGTGTCACTGGCTGAGCAACCGCCCTGGGACCGGGATGTGGAGCTGCTGGTGTATTACACGGAGCCGCACAAGCCCAGCGCGGTGCTGGAGGCTGGGCTGCCTGGAGCTGAGCCAGGTGCGGCTCTGTACCCCATGTCCCCTGAGCAGGGGAGGCTGCGGTTCTTGGGGGCGGGAGAGGTGCTGGTGGGTGCGGTGGGATTAAGGGGGTGGTTAGGGAGAAGCAGAGGATGGAAGGATCTAAGGCCGGGGAGGGAGTTTATTGGGGCTGTGGGCAGAGGTAGGAGGATGGTCGGAGGGATCTGGGGACCATGGGAGACCTAGAAGAGAGAGGAGGGGGTCAGGGGCTCTGGGGCAGTTGGAGGTGCTGGGAGCAGTGGGGGATGCTGGTGGAGAGGTGGGCTCTGTGCTACTGGGCCCCATGGATGCCAGTGGGAATTGTTCACTCTGGCCCCTAATGATGGCTGGTGGAGAGGTGGGCTCTGTGCTACTGGGCCCCATGGATGCCAGTGGGAATTGTTCACTCTGGCCCCTAATGATGGCTGGTGGAGAGGTGGGCTCTGTGCTACTGGGCCCCATGGATGCCAGTGGGAATTGTTCACTCTGGCCCCTAATGATGGCTGGTGGAGAGGTGGGCTCTGTGCTACTGGGCCCCATGGATGCCAGTGGGAATTGTTCACTCTGGCCCCTAATGATGGCTGGTGGAGAGGTGGGCTCTGTGCTACTGGGCCCCATGGATGCCAGTGGGAATTGTTCACTCTGGCCCCTAATGATGGCTGGTGGAGAGGTGGGCTCTGTGCTACTGGGCCCCATGGATGCCAGTGGGAATTGTTCACTCTGGCCCCTAATGATGGCTGGTGGAGAGGTGGGCTCTGTGCTACTGGGCCCCATGGATGCCAGTGGGAATTGTTCACTCTGGCCCCTAATGATGGCTGGTGGAGAGGTGGGCTCTGTGCTACTGGGCCCCATGGATGCCAGTGGGAATTGTTCACTCTGGCCCCTAATGATGGCTGGTGGAGAGGTGGGCTCTGTGCTACTGGGCCCCATGGATGCCAGTGGGAATTGTTCACTCTGGCCCCTAATGATGGCTGGTGGAGAGGTGGGCTCTGTGCTACTGGGCCCCATGGATGCCAGTGGGAATTGTTCACTCTGGCCCCTAATGATGGCTGGTGGAGAGGTGGGCTCTGTGCTACTGGGCCCCATGGATGCCAGTGGGAATTGTTCACTCTGGCCCCTAATGATGGCTGGTGGAGAGGTGGGCTCTGTGCTACTGGGCCCCATGGATGCCAGTGGGAATTGTTCACTCTGGCCCCTAATGATGGCTGGTGGAGAGGTGGGCTCTGTGCTACTGGGCCCCATGGATGCCAGTGGGAATTGTTCACTCTGGCCCCTAATGATGGCTGGTGGAGAGGTGGGCTCTGTGCTACTGGGCCCCATGGATGCCAGTGGGAATTGTTCACTCTGGCCCCTAATGATGGCTGGTGGAGAGGTGGGCTCTGTGCTACTGGGCCCCATGGATGCCAGTGGGAATTGTTCACTCTGGCCCCTAATGATGGCTGGTGGAGAGGTGGGCTCTGTGCTACTGGGCCCCATGGATGCCAGTGGGAATTGTTCACTCTGGCCCCTAATGATGGCTGGTGGAGAGGTGGGCTCTGTGCTACTGGGCCCCATGGATGCCAGTGGGAATTGTTCACTCTGGCCCCTAATGATGGCTGGTGGAGAGGTGGGCTCTGTGCTACTGGGCCCCATGGATGCCAGTGGGAATTGTTCACTCTGGCCCCTAATGATGGCTGGTGGAGAGGTGGGCTCTGTGCTACTGGGCCCCATGGATGCCAGTGGGAATTGTTCACTCTGGCCCCTAATGATGGCTGGTGGAGAGGTGGGCTCTGTGCTACTGGGCCCCATGGATGCCAGTGGGAATTGTTCACTCTGGCCCCTAATGATGGCTGGTGGAGAGGTGGGCTCTGTGCTACTGGGCCCCATGGATGCCAGTGGGAATTGTTCACTCTGGCCCCTAATGATGGCTGGTGGAGAGGTGGGCTCTGTGCTACTGGGCCCCATGGATGCCAGTGGGAATTGTTCACTCTGGCCCCTAATGATGGCTGGTGGAGAGGTGGGCTCTGTGCTACTGGGCCCCATGGATGCCAGTGGGAATTGTTCACTCTGGCCCCTAATGATGGCTGGTGGAGAGGTGGGCTCTGTGCTACTGGGCCCCATGGATGCCAGTGGGAATTGTTCACTCTGGCCCCTAATGATGGCTGGTGGAGAGGTGGGCTCTGTGCTACTGGGCCCCATGGATGCCAGTGGGAATTGTTCACTCTGGCCCCTAATGATGGCTGGTGGAGAGGTGGGCTCTGTGCTACTGGGCCCCATGGATGCCAGTGGGAATTGTTCACTCTGGCCCCTAATGATGGCTGGTGGAGAGGTGGGCTCTGTGCTACTGGGCCCCATGGATGCCAGTGGGAATTGTTCACTCTGGCCCCTAATGATGGCTGGTGGAGAGGTGGGCTCTGTGCTACTGGGCCCCATGGATGCCAGTGGGAATTGTTCACTCTGGCCCCTAATGATGGCTGGTGGAGAGGTGGGCTCTGTGCTACTGGGCCCCATGGATGCCAGTGGGAATTGTTCACTCTGGCCCCTAATGATGGCTGGTGGAGAGGTGGGCTCTGTGCTACTGGGCCCCATGGATGCCAGTGGGAATTGTTCACTCTGGCCCCTAATGATGGCTGGTGGAGAGGTGGGCTCTGTGCTACTGGGCCCCATGGATGCCAGTGGGAATTGTTCACTCTGGCCCCTAATGATGGCTGGTGGAGAGGTGGGCTCTGTGCTACTGGGCCCCATGGATGCCAGTGGGAATTGTTCACTCTGGCCCCTAATGATGGCTGGTGGAGAGGTGGGCTCTGTGCTACTGGGCCCCATGGATGCCAGTGGGAATTGTTCACTCTGGCCCCTAATGATGGCTGGTGGAGAGGTGGGCTCTGTGCTACTGGGCCCCATGGATGCCAGTGGGAATTGTTCACTCTGGCCCCTAATGATGGCTGGTGGAGAGGTGGGCTCTGTGCTACTGGGCCCCATGGATGCCAGTGGGAATTGTTCACTCTGGCCCCTAATGATGGCTGGTGGAGAGGTGGGCTCTGTGCTACTGGGCCCCATGGATGCCAGTGGGAATTGTTCACTCTGGCCCCTAATGATGGCTGGTGGAGAGGTGGGCTCTGTGCTACTGGGCCCCATGGATGCCAGTGGGAATTGTTCACTCTGGCCCCTAATGATGGCTGGTGGAGAGGTGGGCTCTGTGCTACTGGGCCCCATGGATGCCAGTGGGAATTGTTCACTCTGGTCCCTAATGATGGTTACTGCACACATGGACTCTGCGGCCCAGCCCCATTGCTGTCAATGCAATAGTTCGCTCTGGCCCCTAACAATGGCCAATGTGCAGGGGTTTGCCCCAACCACAGCAATAGTAAGAAGAATTGTTAACTCTGGCCCCTAATGATGGACATTAGGCTGCTTAGGTAACTTCCTGTGTTAATCGGACATATTTACCACTTTGTCCTGTAAATTGTCTCAGGAGGGGGGGTCCCCAGGCATCTTCTCCCCCCTCGCACACACACACTGACCCCTTCCTCTTCCCACAGCCCCCAGACGCTG